GACACAATTATTGAAGTTGAGCTGGGAAAAGGAGAGGCCATGCTGGTGACATCATCAACCTGTGAGCCAACTGAAGAAGGTTGTCCCACTTTGGGGGCACAAACAAATTGTAAACACACTTTATTCCAAAAGCACCTGTGTGTTCCAAGGACTGTACTTCTTGTATGAAGTCAGGTACTAACTTCCTTCCCTCCCTATAAATGCCTTGCAACTCTTGATGGGAAGAAGACACCATCCAATGTTTAGGGAAACACTACTGGTGTATCAATTTAGTTCTCAGATGACCATGTATCTCTCCAAAATGAGGCTACTCAAATAAAAAGCTGGTACAAAATTTGTGCCAGACTCAATACAATGTGATCAATGATACCACTTGGGCTCTGGAAGGTATTCATTTTCACCTCAAATCACTAGCCAAGGTTATTACAGAGGCTACACTTGCCCTAGATGTCCTTCCTGTGGACCAATAATGAGACTGTGCAATTGCTAAAACATCTTGCTATACTCAGATTAATGCTTACAGCTAAATGGAAAAGCCAATACAGAAACTAAAAGAGAAAGCCACCTGGCTTTCTAGGGATCTACTCAGTCGGCTTAGTGCAGGACCTCAGGGGAGTGGGTGCACAGCTAAGCTTCCCACTGCAGGGTGGCCATATCCTGCTACTCAGAGTTCTGCTGAAACAGCTGTCTTAATTAAATCCAGTGTGAGAAAAACTGAATGGATTTGGTCCAAGTCCCCTATTGGTCAGATTAATCCAAGTGGTTACGGAGTAGCATTCTCATGAGAAAATTCACCAGAAGCTGAGTGTAGAAAAACCATACTGTGGAAGAAAATTCTCCATGGATCCCTCAGATTTCTGCATATCTTATACACAAACATAGAGCCAGTCTTGTTCTGTCTTCCGAGTTGTCTATATAGCCAATTACCTTACAAAATACAACCTTTCTACCTCCAGAATGGAGGACAGTTATTTATTGTCCAGAATAATAAAGACAATGGCCCCTCTGGGGAAAAACCTGGGCAGGTTTGCTTGCAACTCGTTATAAAAGATGTGGGTTTCCTAAAGCCCAGAGTTTCTCAGCTGTTATGTGAACCACTGCGCGCACAGTGCACACGAAGGTGATTGCACCATTCCGCACCGGACGCGGGGTACGGAGGCGAGAGGAACTGATGTGAACATGAACTTCAGGCTGGTCTGTACGCTGTGAGAGAAATAAAGTCCTTTCTGACTCACGAAGTTTCATGTCTTCTGCCAGCATCCATAAAACTGTGGCATGCCAACTTATTAGCTTGCAAATAGGATAAAATCTCACACCTGTCACAGTTCTTGACAATATCCCAACTTTAGAAATGGGCAAAAGATATCACAAAGAAGATAAACAGATGGCAAAAGAGCACATGAAAAAAGGCTCAACATCATTAGTCATTAGGGAAATGCAAATTAAAACCATTATATACTTACCAACTTAGCTAAAATAAAAGTCTGATCATATCAAGTATTAGGAAGGCTGTGGAGCAGTTGGAACTTACACACTACAAGCTGGAATGCAAAATGGCCCATCACTTTGGAAAACAGTTGGGCAGTTTCTTAAAAAAAAAAAACACAAAACTAAACACATCCATAATACAACCCAGCTATTCCACTTCTAAGTATTTACTGAGAGAAATGAAACCATATATACAAAGACCTACAAATATTCATAGCCCTTTCATTTGTAACAGCCAAAAACGGAAAATAAAATCTAAATGTCAATCAACAGATGGTGTATGTTAGTCGCTTAGTCATGTCTGACTCTTTCCACCCCAAGGATGGTAGCTGGCCAGGCTCTTCTGTCCATGGAATTCTCCAGGAAAGAATACTGGTTGGAGGTTGCCATTCCCTTCTCCAGGGGATATTCCCAACCTAGGGATCAAACCCAGGTCTCCTGCACTGCAGGAAGATTCTTTATCATGTGAGCCACCAGGAAAAGCCCAAATGGTATATTCATACAATGGAGTAACAGTCAGCAATAAAAAGGAACCCACAACAACATGGACAAACCTCTAAAGCATGAGGCCAAGTGAAACAAGTCAAGCATGAAAGACTACACAATATAGGAAGCCATGTATATGACATTCTAAATAAGCTAAAGCCACAGTGATAAAAATCAAGATCATTGGTTGCCTGGGGCTGGGGATCACGGCTGATTACAAAGTTATAGGAAAACATAGGGAGATGGGAATGTTTGTGGTGGTGGTCACACCACTGTGTACAATTAACAAACTTCAAACTTTACATTAAAATGAGTGAACTGTATTATGTGAATTATATTTCAAACGGCTGAGGAAGAAAACATCTATAAGGCAACTGCTGCTTCCTAAAAAGTAACAGGAACCTTCTCATACAGTTTTAAATAAAAACAATGATGCAATTTCAGCAAAATAAGGTCCGAGAATCTTCTCCAGTGCCATTCAAAAAGTTTACCACTGTATTTCAAAAATACATGCATACTGCAAATGCTAGAAGAGCATTTATTCACCTTCTCTATCTGCAAAACAGTTATACAATAAGATTCTCAATATAGAGCTGCCTTCACCTGTTGACTTAAACACAACTAAATTATGCAATTTTTATCCCTAGATTGCATAATACTGACATACACATAACCTATTAAAAACAGCCAATATGTAATACTGCTACCTTCCTGAAGAACTCTTCAGACTGCACTGCATGTATAACTGGTTCATCAACAATTCAACATGCCAACATATTTATCTTGGCAGGCACTGATGGCTGGAATTACTGTAAGGACCTCAGTCTTATAATAAATCTTCTAAAGGTTCTAAATGGCTGTACCCAGCTGTTCTGACCTCTGACTAGACACATAAACTCAGTTAAATGCCTCCCAAATCCAACCTTGTCCACTGTCAGAGAATATGTTCCGATGTTGTGCTACTCAGGACTTTCCCTATAGTGAGATGCTACTCACTACCCCGAGCAGCAAATGGACCACACAGAACATGTTTTCAGAGAGTTCTTATACAGGATTTAACCAGAAATCTGATGTTGCCGAATCTACCTCCACTTTAATACAGTATGATCTAATCAGGTACATATCCACAACACATCTTTACTTTTGCCATCCAGATCTCAGCTCTCTCTGCAGAAGAATGCTGGCCTAGTTTTAATCGGCATGCACCATTCATCCATTCATAAATGTTTACTGCACACAAACCATGTGCCAGATGCTAGTCACCAAAGAATATATACACACCAAGTTCCTATCAGAAAACTCTAATCTTGAACTCTGTCACCAAACTAATTAAAAGCTCATTAGGAAAAAAAGTATTTTTGGATATCTACAGTTCAAGTATTTCTAAATTATTTTAAATTACATCTAACTGAACCACATCAGTGAGTCAGACTAAATCATTTTGTCCCATGCAAAACTGATTTTTACCAAACTTCACCTCCATGTTTTACCAATGACCTATATCGAAGGTCCTAAGAAACAGAGCCAGGGGCTACCACCAGTAGTAATTCACATTTAGAGTCCTAAGTGCCAGACTCCAGGCTAAGCACTTTACATTCATCCATTCAACCCTCACACATAATCCTATGTAGAAAGGTCCTTTATTAATCCCATTTGACAGATAAGGAAACTGCAGAGCTGATAGGAGGTGGAGTAATTTCATTAAGGCCACATAGTGGCAGAGCTGGCATATTTTCGAGGCAGCCTGTCTCCAAAGCTCTTGTTCTTACTCACTACATTACAGTGCCACTATTCATTATGTAAGATGTTGAGGTATTTATTCATGATACCACTTAATGTCTTCCTAATAATTTCCTATGAGAAATTGTGTGTTTTAATACCAAGAATGGCTCCTAAGCAATTGATTTGTTCTCATCCTATAACCATAAATAATGTAACTGACATTCAGTCATGTCCAACTCTTTGCAACCCCATGGACTATCAAGTCCATGGAATTCTCCAGGCCAGAATATTGGGAGCAAGTAGCCATTCCCTTCTCCAGGGCAATCTTCCCAACTCAGGGATTGAACCCAGGTCTCCCACATTGCAGGCAGATTCTTCACCAGCTGAGCCAGCAGGAAAGCCCTCTTTTATACTAGGTGCTTCAGAACTCAGAGCTACATTTAGTCTATCTGGTAAGTACAGACTCAAATGGCATGTATTTTTGCCACCATATTTCTAACTTCACTGATTATCACCTCACCTGGCCTATTTCTTGTATCTTCACCAAATTTCTCACTTATTTTAAAAAAATACCATGTTAATCTTTGTAAGCCAAGCATTTTTTAGAATAAGTCTTGGTACAAATAATTAACAACTTGACTCCACAGAACAGTGCATAGGAACCCAGAGAACTCCTTAAAAATTCCCTAGCCCTCCTTATTTTATTGGGGCTTCCCAGGTGGTCCAGTGGTAAAGAATCCGCCTGCCAATGCAGGAGATGCAAGAGACATGGGTTCAACTCCTCGGTCAGGAAGATCCCTTGGTGGAGGAAATGGCAACCCACTCCATATTCTTCCCTGAAAAATTCCATGGACAAAGAAGCCTGGTGGGCTATAGTCCATGGGGTCACAAAGAGTCGAACACGACTGAACATGAACATGCCTTATTTAATTAAAAATAAAATATGCTATCTTTGTTAATATTAGGACAATTTTTACTGTAAGGACAAGAAATCAAGTGTGAGGGAAAGAACAATCAGCAACCAGTAAAACTTAAAGCGTGCTAAATCGCATTGGTCATATAAGACTCTTTGCAACCCTATGGGCTGTAGCCTGCCAGGCTTCTCTGTTCATAGTATTCCGCAGGCAAGAATACTGGAGTGGATTGCTATTTTCTTTTCCAAGAACTTAATAGATCCTTAAATATATTCCTGATTTCAAACTATCAGTTCTTTATGACATGACACATACGATAAATTCTTGCCTAAGAGTCAGGGTGAACATGACTGAAAGTAACTATCTGCGCCTCATTAAGGAAATAATTACCTGACTTCAAGGGCTTTGATAGCTTCTAGCATCTGTAGAAACTCTGCTGCTTTCCATACATCATTGGCTTCTTCTTCTCCTTGTATCATTAACTTTGCTGTATATGTGAACTCAATCAAATGACGAAAGGCCATTTTACTAACACCTGTAAAAAGGATGTGCATTAACATGCATTCACATTGATTCAAATCTTACAACATTTAGTAATGGGAATAAAAAGAAGCCCAATGTTTGAAAACAGATTAATTAGCATTTGTCATTTTGGAAGACAACTTCTGGGCAGAATTCTCACTTATAGCATAATACTGTAGCCAAATTCAACACTAACTAGCAAACTACTTTAAGATTTCCTTTCCCAAAAGATTTCCTAAGGTTCTTACAGAACAGTAAAATCTATCACTCAAATACACAAATGGGCTAACTACTACATCAGAAGTTCTCCCTCTTGCCAGGGAGCTGTGTGTCAACTCAACTCCAAAATCATCAATAGCTTTCCACAGCTTAGCAAGTAAAATTCAGTACCATTCTGCCTTTATTTCAAGGTCCTTTACATTATTTTTCTACTTGCCACTATTTTTCCGTTCCAAATTTTAAAATGTATCAAACCGACATTATATACTGATCCTCAAACCTGTCACTTTCTAAGCACTTCCTTGCCCTTTAACACCCTCCTTTCCTGAATGCTTAATCACTTTATTTCTGGACAAATTCTATGACCCTTGAGGGTCCAATTTTAATGCCATGTCTTTAATGAACCTTCTTTAATACTCCCCTCAGGCTGAACTCTGTACCTAGTCTGATAGTTAAAATTCAGACAACTCTTGACTGCAAGTTACTTGAGGAGAATTTCTGTCTAAACTCACCTCCCGGTAGCTAACACAAAGCTTCCTAAAATGAAAGCACACAAATTTGGTACAAATAAAGGCTAAAGTCATTTTTATATTAAGCTTCCATAATTCCAAGCTTTCTTTACAAGTTCTATGTTTAGATTTTGGCCCAAAATGATACTATACTTCCCTGAGCTCTTCAATGCTATGTAATATTGCTTCAGTCTGCTAATGTGAGGTATGAAAAGCTACTGACAGGAACAAAGAGAAAACTTTTTGCAGGCTTTTTTATGCTAAGAAATGCCTAAGACCAAACTGCACACAATATGCACAATTACAAAACAAGAATGTCCTCTGGCAGTCCAATGGTTAAGACTCCAAGATTTCACTGCCAAGGGCATGTGTTGTTAGATCCCTGGTCTAGGAACTACGATCCCAAAAGCCACTTGGCGCAGCCAAAAAAATATAAAAATATTTTTAGGTTTTTCCAATGCAGTTTATACACCTGAATGTAGCCTTCCAGACAACAGTAAGAAAGCTGGTGGAATATCCATCATCCTCTGTGTAAGGAAAAATATCACTCAGGAAGTCAGAACTTTCAAGTTTTAGTCTAGGCACTCCATGACTTGTGCAATCTGAGACAAGTCAGAACCTCTGAGTCTCAGAAAACTCATCTTCAAATTGCCTGACAACAATGTGAATACTGAAAAGCACTATAGAATACAATGTAACTTGACCAAGTTACATGCTATCAAATAAGCAACTAAAAATAACTGATTCACTGAAGGCTAATTTTATTTGGGTCTCCTAAGTCTTTTTTCTCTTGGCCTTTTTTTTTTTTTTAATATTTAATTGTGGCACACATGATCTTCAATCTTCATTATGAACACAAGCTCTTAATTGCAGTATGTGGGATCTAGCTCCCAAACCAGAGATTGAACCTGGGCTCCCTGCATTGGGAGCACAGAATCTGACTGACTAGACCACCCAGGAAGTCCCTCTCCTGGTTGACTTTTGACAGTGTTAATTCAAGAGTAGCCTGAGGAACAGACAACTAGATTTTGCTTCCTTTTTTTTTTTAAGATGTTTTGATCAAACATTTAAAAGTGAATCAAAAATTCTTCCTATAAACGATGTGCAAATTTTTCCTGAAGTGGAATGAAATTTGGGTTTTTAATTAAACACACACACATATATACATACTATATATAATCAAGCAGGCCTCTAAATACTTTAGAAAATTATCAACTGACTTAATATTCATAACAACCCTATGAGGTACTATCATAATTCCCATTTTAAAGAAATTGAGGCATGGAAAAGCTAAATAACTTGCCAAAGTCACATAGCTATTAAGTGATAAAACTAGAACCAAACCCAGATGGTCTGGCTCCGAAGTCCATGATAAAGATTTTTGAACATCATGATGCCAAGGAATATTCCTTCTTGGAAGAGTCTGAATACCCATGGTCTCTCTCACTACGGGACTGACTGCAATCTCTTACTCATATGTCCAAAGTCCCCCATATTTCTTAAAACCAAAAGTTCCCAATAAATGTGGCAGCAAAATTTGATCTGAACCAACATGAGGCTATTTATAATCTTTATCCCACTCACAGTAAATTTTAATAAGCTATGTTGCTTATTAATAATACACTGGATTATTACTTGGTTATAGGATACTGCCCCAGGCCCCACTGGGAGTACTGCGGAATACACATACTGGATTACCTTAGGAAAGTCTAAAAGTCAGGAATTTCAAGAAACATTTGACCTTCAAGGACCTTTGGATTTAGCTCCCAATCTTGGTTAATCAGAGTCACCTGTGACTTAAGCATGGGTTCCTCATCTCCAGAATCACAACTGAGGGAGTGAACTGTTTTTTATAAGCACCAAGGTGCTTCTTAGGTGGCTGGTCCAACACTGGTCCTAGGAATAAACCACGGACCTGACTAATTAGTTAACAGGAACCAAACTTACAACACCTTTATAACACCTGCCCAGGTAAGTGAAGGGTTGGTAGGTAATGCACAGCCCTGCGAAAATATTTTATACTCTATCAGGACTAGTAGGCTAACTTTCAAATTTCAGCCCATGTTTTCAATTCCTTACTCCTTTCAAAATATAAACGTGCAAGAAAATACAATTTTTTAAATGAGGTATCTAAGAAAAATGTTAATACGAACACCTCAACCTGGGTCATTGTTCCCACTCAGAAAGAGGCAAAGGGTTGAGGGGTAGAGGGCATTCTGGAATTTCTCTAGTCTATAGAATTCCCCAACTAGTGGAAAACTCCTACTCAACTAGGATGTATAAACATGTCCTTGCGTGTTTCATCCTTGATATTAGGAGCTAAAATTTTGGACAGAGTTGCTGTTTGAGAGAAACTAGGTGCTTATGGATCTGTGGTTTCAGGGGAAGTAAAGAATGGATTTGGAAAATTGGAAGCTTGGTTTAGAAGGCTGTTGTGTTCCAAACAAGGAAATCAATGTCTGTTGAAGATGTAATATGGTGTGAATCCAAGTCACAAAGCTTAGCTGGGATGCTTCTCAGTTGAAAAAATGATTTTAAGTCAAAGGTGAACTTGTAGCCCTATCAAAGATAACTCACTTCACCAAAGAGAGAAAAAGCAGAGAGAGAGCTGTGTCAGCTTGCATCTAATGACAGTTCATACTCATAGAACATAGTATAATTTAAATTCCCTTTATATACGCTTGTTTTACAAAACCCTAAGGCAGTGGTTCTCAACATTGGTTGCATACTGGACTTATCCTAGGGCAGAGCTGCCGTAACTTTGCTGTTCAAAGGAGTCATCTGAGGATTCTGTTCTAATTCAGTAGGACTAGGGTAGAGCCTGAGAGTTTCCAGCTCTCACAAGCTCCTAGGCGATGCCATGCATCCTCAGACCACACCCTGAATGACAAGGACCTAGAGAACTTTAAAAGACAGATGCTTAGACTTCACCCCTCAAATAGTGAACTGATCTGGAGAAAAACCCTGGCTATTAGTACTTGCAAAAGCTCCGCTGGTGTTTCTAATGTGCTGCTAAATATGAGAACAATCACTATTTTACAGATAGGAGTTCCAGTTTTAGCTACGATGAAGAAAGCATACTGCATTCTATCTTGTCCATTGATACAACTAAAGACCCTGGACAGAACATCTAACGCAAATATAAAAGGACTTTGAAGAAAAAATAGAAGAAAAGAGCCTGGGGAGAGAAACAGAACTCAAAGAAGAGCAGTGAGTTTCCTGTTTTATATTTTTGCTCCTCCATAGCACAGCCTGAGGACAGTGAAACTCCCATAACCGGGGAGTAGGTGCAGACAGAAACAGTTCCAAGAGGGACTGAGCAGAGAACTAGGAAAGGAGACGGAGCGTGTGTGGCGGTGGGAAAATAACTGGTTTTATTCCTCTCTCAGCTCTTCCCCAGTTAGAACGCTGCATAACTGTGGCGAGCTGCCACCAAGCAGGCACCTAAACTCTATGACAAAGTTCCTCTGGCTGAGAACTAGGAAAGAGACAATCATCTGAAGAGATGGAGAGAATACTTGTTATTTTCCTCTCTCACCATTTTACCCAGGAAATGGATCCTATCACAGAAAATGTAGGAGACCACAGAGAGGCTAAATTCCCCAGTTTTCCAGCCAGAGGAGCAGGAAAGGGACCTCTGGGGAGCTAAAGCACAGAGAAAATCAGGAGGGGTAGCTGGTGAAAAGTCCAAGTCTGTGTATGCAGTCTTGAGCATACTGCCTAGCTACAATAATGGGAGGTAGCACAGCGAAGGCTCTGAGAATTAGACTGTGTGTGGACTACCACCCAGGTCGGCACACCTGGGGCCTGAACAGAACAAAGATGTTAAGAACTAAATTGGAATTGGATCCACAGCCCACACAAGGCAGTTTGAACCTAATCAGGTTGACAGCCAAAACAAAATAAACCACAATCAAATCAGTAACAAAAACCAAAGCATTTCCCAAAGATTCTAACAGATCACAGAGTATCAAAACGTAATATTCAAAATGCCCATGACATCATACAAATTTACTTGACATATTTTGCAAATTAAAAGAGAAAACAAGAAAGATGTTCAGTGTTACACAACTAACCAACTGTAAAACTAAGACTACAACCCAGGTTTTCTAAGTGCATGCCCAGGGCTTTCTCCACAGCCAGGTAACCTAGCCAGATAGTAGTAAAGCAATTTCAAAGTTAAAGGCTTAAGAAGACACTGAGCCAAATTGATTCTTTAAACCTGGATCTGGCAAATAAAAACAAAGAATGTTTTTACATGTTTCCTTCTTACTTTCTATAGTTTAAATACCTGAAGGTTGTGTGTCCTATACTATAATGGATCCTGACCCAAAGATCAAACCCAGTTCTCCCGCATTGCAGGCAGACTCTTTACCGTCTGACCCATCAGAGAAGTACCTATAATGGACATAGCACATCAGAAATAAGAAATAATTCCAAAGTAATTACTCTTGAGAAGAAAAGATCCTACTTCTTCAGGTAGGTCAGTATTCCACACTCCACCAGCAATACATATTCTAGCCCTGGCCACTTAACTTTTTGACTTAGGATTCTGCCCAGAAGTTGCCTCCTCTGTGAAATTCTTCCTCTCTCTAAGCTTCTAAACCACTCATCCTTCTTCTTCCCTTCTTACACCATTTTGCAATAAAATTCCCTGCAACATTTTTTTGCACTCTTCTACCTGTTGCCTACCCATGATTAAATTTGGAAAATCTTAAGGGCTGTCTTATTAATCAATTTCTCATTTCCTGGATCTGGCATGGTATTAACAGGTATTAAATTTGATAAATAGCCCCAATTTAGTAAACTTTGGCAATGCACCAATCACTACGCCAGGCTCTGCACATGTTAATTCAATTAATCATTAGTACAATCATACTTCTCAGATGAAGCAACAAATATGCAATTGAAGTAAAGTACCCTGCCTGGGGTCCGATACCTCAGGTGAATAACTGGATGCAACTTTGCCTTGTAATAGAAACAAATACCATGTAGGATCCTGGAGTCTCACTTTAGTATGTTTTAAGGATTTCTGTTATGCCTGTGCTCTCTCCTTCACAGATAACAAAAGATAATCTATCTATGAATACCAGTTAGAACGCTAGATAAGCTGGCATTATCAAAGAGGATCTTTTAACTCTACGTATTCTTTACTCCCCTAGGCACCAAATTTTTCCAAGGGAATACTGTTTCCAGGCAACCCGTTCATAACAGAGAATATATATATATAGTGAAAGAGATACAAAACCAAAATTCAAGAACCCCAAATTTATGTAAGAAAGCTGATTTATTTCCTACAGTTTTGGATTGGGGGTAGAGAGCAAGGTACTATAGTAGCAGAAAACAAAAGCATGGGAACAGCATAAACTGAATCCCTTGCTAGGTAGGCAACATTAGGTAAGTAACCTTTTACAGCCTGTTCCCTGGTATGTAAACTGAAAATAACTTACTTCAAAGGATAGATGTGAAACTCAGAAAATGTACACAAACAACACAGCATAATACCAGGCACTTGATGGACTATTATTACAAAAAAACCAAGTATAACAATTTCTATTTTAGGACAACATGTAGTGGATAACCCCTTCCATTGTAGACCTTCTACAACCACTTGAACTTCTTTTAAATGTTACTTCAGTTAATCTTTCCCAGCCTTTTCCATATTATAGCAGCCCATTTTACACTGTGCATGTCACGCTAATACACAGGCCTGCAGCATCCTGATCAGTCTAAAACATAAGGCCACTAAATAAGATGGAAATTCACTTTTAATACGTTTTCAAAAGACAGTGACCACTGGTTGTAGCAATGAAAAAGACTCATTTAAGAGACCAACAAATACCATTTAACCTAAGTTTTTCCTGGAAGATCACTTTACCAAGCACGTTACTAAAAGTAAAAATTCTCAGGTGTCAAAAGAACAATTTATCCAGTCACCTAACGGGAACCATTGATACCTGTTTCCCATGGTATTTTACTAAATTACTGTCTAAAAAACTTCATCAAATTATAATGTTTACTAAACAATGTATTTGAAACAAGCATTTACCTTCTATCTCCACCAAAGGTTCCTGAGTAAACTCTTGAAAGAATTTATAGAAGAACTTGCTGCAAGCAGCCAAAACAGCCTTGTGGGCCTTAAAATGGTGTCCTAGAGAAAAAAAACGAAATCATCATATTCACAAAAAACAAAGTATAATAAAACAAGTTAAAAAATTAAACTAAAATCTTTCTTAATATAATTTTAAAAACCATATTCTGAGCAGCTATCTTGACAAATTTGAATCTCAATTAGACATGAAGCCAGATCTTTACCTCAAAGGCCTTACTTATTAAGTCAGTTTTTATAAAGGACATCTTACAACATTTCAGGAGGTATCACTTTCAGGCAAAAGCATATCCTATTCAGTTGAAACTGCTAAATAGAAACATAACTCAAAAGATTATATATCATTGGAAAAGGGAAGAAAAAGCCACAGAATAAGCACCAAGCTGGGTGTGTTTGCTATGAAAAACACTTTAGTATGCCTAATATTTGGAAACTCAACCTATAGCAGACCTATAACAAAGATTAGCTTGCCTTAAGTCTGTTTTCACTAAATAGAAAAGACACCTAAGCTGTGTTTGTCTCCACTGTAATGACAACTCTCAAGACTGGTAAATACCTCATTCTATTTTGGGGGTCACCAAAGCGGGTACCAATCCTGGTAAGGAGTCTCTCATATTCTACCTCCAAGACCATTTGGGAAACTATAAAGAATCAACACTTACCAAATGACTCCTCTTAGTGACTGCTCAAAGCAGCTTAGGAGCAGAAATCTACTAACCCAACATTCAGAGACATCCTCCCTAACCCACGCCCTCATCTTGCACTAAAGTGTGCAATGGAAACACTTCAAAAGACTGCAAGAAGTTAAAATACCATGATTACGTTTAAAGTGTGACCAGCCTTCTGCAGCATGGTCTCCGTTAAGGAATACTGATAAGTGTCCTTGGGTCCGAGCGCGCACCCTCCACAGACTTTCGATAGGTAGTCTACAGAAGGTGGGTAAAAAAGGCGGGTGGGGGAAGGGAAGAGAGGCTCTGAAGGCACAAACTTAGCTCCTCAGCCCACTACCCTGCTCACCGTCGACAATCAGGGTGATGTCAGTAAACCGGTCCTGCTCTCGCTGTTCATTCAATCGGTCCAGGATCATTTTATGATGTTCAGGGAACTCCTGAAGGCATTCCATCGTCTCTTCGGCCTCCATGGCCGTCCGGTTGCTCTACAAAAGAGGAGCATGATAATGTACACCCATGAGCTCGGGCTGAGGAACAAAACCCCTAAAGCACAAAATAACAACAAAAAAAACAAAACCCCAGCAACGTGAAAGAAAGGGGGAGGGTGAGGCAAGAGGAGAGGAAGGCGAGGGAAGAAAGAAAGGCGAGCCGGGCGGCCGCCGCGCGTTGGGGGCCGGAGCCGCGGCCGCGGGACTCCGAGCCTGACCTAATTGGAGTCGGGAGACGCGAGCTGGAGCGGGGTGGGCACAGCACCGGAGGCTCCGAGCGCCGGGGCGCGCAAGTCCGGCAGGGGAGGAGACCCTACAGCCGCCGCGGCCCGCTAACGGCCCGCCAAGCCCCTCGGCCCGGCCCTGGCTCCAGCCTTCCCGGGACCCGGTCCGGCCCACGGCCCACAACGACTCCCGGGTTCACCTTCCACTCACTCGCGCCACACTCCAGGTGTGAACACTTCCGAGCCAGACCTCAGAATAAACTCGCAACCGGTTCCGGTGTGCTTTATACCGCTGCCCCCCCCCCACGCCCCGCCCTGTCCCCTTTCCTCCCGAGGCCTAAGTCTGGCCGCCTTACCTAGCTCACGATCCTCCCTCTCTCCTTTCAGTCCCGAAAGCCTTTCCTTCTCTACTCTCCCCTCTCGGGGCGTAACTCGCCCCGCACTTTTCCCTACCCCTGAACAGCGCCTCTCCAGCCATTTCCTCGCCAGTGCCCGGGCGCTCCCTCTGCTCGGGTCCGGCCGGCGCACGTGCGCTCGCTCCGACACCCGGTCGGCCGCGGCGCGGGCAGCGGCGGCCACGGGCGCGAGCACGTTCCGGCCGCCTAGGATCTTCCTCCCGGGTGCCCGCCCTCTCTGTGTTCGGCGGGCAGCGCGTGTTTGCTAGACTTAGGTCCTGTGGCTGCTCGGCTTATTTCACGTGGTGCTGTTAAATGCAGCTCTCCATTTCCCAGGTCCCGCGCTTAAAGAGGCCAGTGACCCTTAGTCAGCCCCACGTGACTGGATCATTCATTCATTCCTCCGGGGGGTGGGGGGGGATGACTTTTTGAGAATGAGACAGTCAAGATTTACTCATAGTTTTCTCTATAAAGAGAGATTAGGATTAAGGATTAGGAAGAATTTAAATAGCTGTCTGCAGGGGTAAATGTCGCTCAGTCGTTTCCCACCCTTCAGAACCCCATGGACTGAAATCCATGGAATTCTCCAGGCCAAAAGAATGGGTAGCCGTTCCCTTCCCCAGGGGATCTTCCCAACCAGGCATCCAACCCAGGTCGCCCACATTGCAGGTGGGTTCTTTACCAACTGAGCCACCGGGGAAGCCCAAGAACACTGGAGTGGGTAGCCTATCCCTTCTCCAGGGGAATCTTCCTGATCCAGGATTCGAACCGGGGTCTCCTATCCTGCAGATGGATTCTTTACCGACTGAGCTACTGGGAATCTGGGCTTCCTTGCTGCCTCAGACGGTAAAGGACCCTCCTTGCCGATGCAGGAGACACAGGTTAGATCCCAGGGTTGGGAAGATCCCCTGGAGAAGGAAATGGCAACCCACCCCAGTATTCTTGCCTGAAGAATCCCATGGACAGAGGAGCCTGGCGGGCTACAGTCCATGGGGTCACAAAGAGTCAGACACGACTGGGCGACTAACACTTTCAAGGGTAAATGTAATGATTACTTCAGCAGACATTTATTAAGAGCCGACGTTGTGCTAGGCACTGTTTAGTGTTGGTCACTCAGTCATGTCCAACTCTTTGTGACCCCACGGACTGTAGCCCACCAGGTTCCTCTGCTCCATGGAATTCTCCAGGCAAGAATACTGGAGTGGGTTGCCATTTTCTTCTCCAGGGGATCTTCCCGACCCAGGTACTGAACCAGGGTTTTGACCACCAGGGAAGCCTAGGCACTATTTAAGGGTCTAGGAATTACAATGGTGAACAAGGCATATGTGGTTTCTGCCTTCCTGATCTTAGTATGATAGAGTAAATAGACATTACTGAACAGGGAATTTCCTGGGTGCTGACTGCTGCGTGTTATGAGACAAAACAAGCTAATCTGGAGGTCAAGGAAAACTAGTGACATGTATGAAGTTTGAGTGTCCTTAGTCAATAATATGCTGAGGTGCGGGAGAGGCTAAAGCTCTCTGGAACTATGTTGCTGGACAGACCCACAAGGGTCTTGTAAACAGTGTTAAAGGCGTAGAGTTTCTCACGATGGCAAAGGGAAGTCTTGAAGATTGAGCAGGATAGTGACATCATAAATTTTACTTTGTAAAGAGAATTCTCTGGAGAATAGATTAAATGGGATGAAATAGAAGTAGAGATTAGTTGGGAGATTGTTAGTAATCTAGATGAAACCATGGTGGCAAATGAGATTAGAAAATTAACAGAGGGAATTGGCTGATGGTCCAGTGGTTAGGGGCTTGCCCTTGTGATAACCTGCCTGCCAGTGCAGGAGACATAAGAGATCTGGGTTTGATCCCTGGGTTGGGAAGATACCCTGGAAGGGTAAATGGCAACCCACTCCAGTATTCTTGCCTGGAGGATTCCATGGACAGAGGAGCCTGATGGGCTATAGTCCATGGGGTCACAAAGACTTGATTGCAACTGAGTAACTTCCACTCACTCACGCCATTGGTTAGGACTCCAGTCTTCACTGAAGGGGCTGTGGGTCTGATCCCTGGTGGGGGAATTGAGCTTCTGTAAGCCACCTGGTGAGGCCAAAAAGAAAAAGACAAGGAAGGCATTTTACATTTGGATCTGTATAGAGCTTGGGAGAGAGAGCTAACCTTAGAGATCTGGGAAATTTTAGCATAAAATAGCTGTTGAAGCCATGGGAAATGATGAGATCGTTTTAGGAGAATCTGTGGGGATGATGGACTACTGAGCAGTTTCTAGGTTAACTTGAACTCCTGGTGTTTTAATATTATTATCATCATTATTATTTACAGAGTTTTTAAGATGAAGAAATTGCACCTAGAAATAGGCATTTTAGAAATTCCAATCTATATGGCCCCTTTCCTATAAAACAACAACTAGATTAAGCCAAACAGAGATTGCCATCTCTACATGGAATTTGAACTATCTAGTCCACCACAGCCCTATCACTTTTTAGAGTCTTAGACCCAGTGAACACCATTCATTTTTACCTGCCTTTTTCTTAAAGCATTTGAATTTGGACTTTTGGCCTACAGGATCAGAATGGACATGGGTGAAGGACTTTATACCTAAGAAGTATCAATGTCTATACGCTTAGCAGTAAAGAAAAAACCTGAAAAGACAGTATGGCAGCTGGAGAAAGGAAAAGCAGAGGAGTATGACATCAAGGAGGTCAATGTTTCAAAGAGATGGTATGATCAGCAGTGTCAAATGCTACAAAGTCCTTAAGCTAAGTAAAGATTAGGACTGTTCCATGGTGGGTAGGGGGTATAGGAATAAATAAGTAGGTTAAGGAATAGTTAGGAAAATAAATTGAGTTGGCAAT